GGAGCAAAAGTACTTCTCAATCCGACTCTAATTCAAAAAGTGGTTCAGAATCTCTTGCCACTAGAATCAAATCAACTGGACGTCCAAATACTTCAATTATATATTGTAGCATGGAGCCTGAAATTGCTGAAACTAACCCATTTAAACCTAAAATAAAAGAATCAACGTCTACTCGGACTTGTCGTAGAAGAAAATTTATAACTGGTGTTGCTGATGTGTCATCTGATGTTAAATCAAAATTATCAAGAAGGGCTAAATTCCCATCAAAGCAAAGAAACTCAAAAGAAAAGGACCCCTCAAAGCTTTCAAGTGAAACTATATTCGGAGGATGACGAAGAAGACTTTGAAGAAATTGGCGATTCGAAACTGAAGAAAAAAATGTTCATGGTAACATAGAATGGTAACATCACATAGAATGGTAACTTTTCCGTTAGGCGGGCGCAAGCGAAAAATCGCCAAACAATGTAGAATTCCACCAAATTTCTTGCAACCAATTTCTTGCAATCATACCATTTTACAATCAAATTTCTTACATCCATAATTTGGCGGAAATCTACATTATTTGGCGATTTTTCACTTGCTTCCGGCTAACGGAAAAATACCAAAATAACTTACCCTTACTAATTAAAAAATGAAATGGAAACGGTTGAGAGATCAGAAGCATAAATGGCAAACAAATAAACCCTTTTACCTCTTTTCTAACGAAATTCAACTTTCGCGTAGGTATACATATCAAACAACCAATCAGATTTAAGAATTTTGGTGGTGTAATCGTGGTGTGATCGGACGTTCAAAAAATTTTTTGGCGAGATTTATTGGCAACCTATTTTGGCGAGATTTTTAAAATATCGCCACGGGGTAGGCTATTCTAAGAACCATCCAAATTTATAAACTGTTAATAATTTTCATCTGAGTTTTATACAGAGGAGCTTTTACGAACATGCGGTTAGTGTAGAGTTATTTATCAATCGAAGTTTCTTTGTACATTTTGAGAGATTGACGAATCTGTGTTACACTTTTATACGTAGTTTCATGATAAAATACTTGATTTGAAAACTTGAAACACTTGAGCAAATTGTTCAGGTGGAGAAGTTATTTCCTAATTCTTACTTTAATGTTGCAACTTCAATAGTCACATTAAGTTTTCCTTCCTTTTAATTTACCAATAATAAATTTAAGCCATCTAAATGATTTCACTGGGCAAGTATGGACACATAAGTGCTGGCTACTATGAACATGTAATTATTCACAACGTTTGAGATTGAAATAGCTCTATAATAGAAAGTTTGAATATTCTTTGATACATTTATATTAAAGTAATCGAGCTTTAGTATTATTTACAGTACTTTCATATCTTTATAACTAAAAAATATTTTAATCCAATAGTTTTTTTATTATTAATATGGTAATTATATATTATTTGGAGTATATTCTAATAGGCGTTTATTTAGAGTTATATTTTGATCTCAAGGTATCTGAAATAGGTATGAGATGCCCCTTTCAGAGCATAGACAGAAACGTCTTCACCCATGCTAGATCACTGACTAAAATACTTCTTTCTAACACAAAATTTCCTAGAATTCCAAGTGCCATTCGTAGAATCAAAACATTAAGAACACCTGAAATTGCGGACTGTAAATTAACTGAGATTACAATTTAACTTCAGTCAATGTCTGAACTTGTAAACCTCGCATTGACTCAAAAAAGAATGATTGGACAGTTCTTTTTTGGGTGATCTAAAACTCCAATCAATTATTCTAACGAGTAATAGGTCGAATAGTTTAGATAATAAAATATTTGATCCAGTGCCTAAATTCACGTTTGGTCAAACTGGACATGAGCGATTTCATAACAGCTTATTTCGGAATCCTAATTTGATGATAATTTTCTTCATTTGTTTGTAATTTTTATATGTAGTGATATGATAAAACACTTGATTAATTAGCAAATTGAAAAAAATATGGTTTTTAGGATGGGAAGGTAATTTTCTAATTTGTGCTATAATTGCAACTTTAATAGTCATATATGCTATACTTTCCTTTTTATTTATCAATAATAAGTTTAAACGATCTAATTACTTCCCGTTGCAAGTATGGACATATAGATGTGTCGCTTCTGTGAACATATTATTATTAACAACGTTTGACATAGAAATAGCTGTTTAAGTACAAATACTGAATATTTTTGCCACAATTAAATTAGAGTGATCCAGCACTTATGCCAGTGTTATTTACAGTATTTTGTATCTTTATAACTGCAAAATAGNATTGGACAGTTCTTTTTTGGGTGATCTAAAACTCCAATCAATTATTCTAACGAGTAATAGGTTGAATAGTTTAGATAATAAAACATTTGATCCGGTGCCTAAATTCACGTTTGGTCAAACTGGACATGAGCGATCTCATAACAGCTTATTTCGGAATCCTAATTTGATGATAATTTTCTTCATTTGTTTGTTATTTTTATATGTAGTGATATGATAAAACACTTGATTAATTAGCAAATTGAAAAAAAAAATATGGTTTTTAGGATGGGAAGGTAAGTTTCTAATTTGTGCTATAATTGCAACTTTAATAGTCATATATGCTTTACTTTCCTTTTAATATACCAATAATAAGTTTAAACAATCTAATTACTTCCCGTTGCAAGTATGGACATATAGACGTGTCGCTTCTGTGAACATATTATTATTAACAACGTTTGACGAAGAAATAGTTGTTTAAGTACAAATACTGAATATTTTTGCCACAATTAAATTAGAGTGATCCAGCACTTATGACAGTGTTATTTACAGTATTTTGTATCTTTATAACAGCAAAATAGTTCTCTTCACATATATCAATTTTAATCCGTTTATTAAAAATAAATTACAAAAACGAAAATCTTATTCATTCGTATTCATTGTAAGGGACAAATACTTTAAACTTAAAGGTAATTATTACTATTTATTATATTATTTATTATATTATTTATTATATTATTTAGAGTATTTACTACTGGGCCCTTACGTCTGTGCTAAAAATTAATAAATAAACTCGAACAAATAATAAAATACTCTTATAGAATTATATATGTTATGCTATAAAAAATTATTAACCAATGCATAAAACTTTATATTAATCTGGCATGTTAAATTCCTCATTATAAAGTAGATAACAGAGATAACTATTTTAATAGCATTTTGTATTTCTTTTTCGCAGAGCTGGAATGTGTATGCAGGTCGCAAAGTGATTGTTGGTATCTACATTTGTGTTCAAACTGATATTTTTAAAGTGTATGTTTATCACTAACAACTTCCTTCTAACAGAATATTAATACGTTGAAGATAATCTCTTTTCCTTAAACACATTTTATCAGAATAAAAAAACTTATTTTTTATAGTTTATCGCTATTGTAGGATTGATTTGGCGTAGGATGGTTGTTTTTTGGATTAATATACTACCTGCTACTACTCTTACAGAATAATTAGTTCTGATAATTAAACTTGAGACTTATCTGCATGCCGGTTTTCTTCCAAGAACTAACTTTCACTCTTTGCTATCATTTCCAAAATGAATGTTACTTTAGTGATTTTAATTGTGATGTATAGCAATTTTTTGGTAGCTGATCCGAAACAGAATGAGTGCATTATGCAATTTGGGAAGGAAACCAGCAGACTGATTTGCAAAAAGGTCGATAACTTATATACTATTAGAATGTTCTTGGTTCCCCACTTGGAATTAAACGTTTTTGATCAAGTGCTCGTCCATTGCCATGGGGAAGAAAGATGGCAAGTGTCACATTTATTTGATGATATATTTTTTAATGCCAAGATATATCATATAAGCATGAGATGCCCCTTTTTAAGCATGGAAGACAATGCCTTCTCCCGAACTCATTTACTGTTTAAACTTCATCTTTCTCACACTAAATTTCATAGAATTCCAAGTGCTATTCGTAACACCAAGACTTTGGAAACACTTGAGATTGTGAACGGTAACTTAACTGAGATTACTACTGAACTTCAATCAATGTCTGAACTTCTAAAACTCTCATTGTCTCACAACAAAATAAGTTCATTGCTGGGCAGTGCTTTTTTGGGTGATCTAAAACTCCGATCAATTATTCTAACGAACAATAAGTTGAGTAGTTTGGATAATAAAACATTTGATCCGTGCCCAAGTTTACAATTGGTTAAATTGGACAAGAACAATCTCATAACAGTTGATGGTTTATTTCAAAATCCAAGTTTGATGGTAATTTTCATTATATACTTCTATTTTTATCTTTTTCCTTCTGCCTTTAGCATTTATTTCGATAATAAAATTAATGAAACCTGAAATGACTCATGTTTAAAGCAATGAGTTGTAATCGTGAATTATTGAGGTTCCATTCCCTGTAGTGGCTTGAATCTCACACCTAGCTTAAGATCAAAGTTCCGGTTTCATATTCCTCCTAGTATACAGCAGGATATTGCAGTTGTTTGTTTTAATAATAGTAAACCATCGGAAATTTCAGGAAACGTGTTATGAAAAGAACAAGCAATTTGAAAATATTGCATTAGTAATTGCTATCGCGCACTTCAAATCCAAATAAAATAACTAACATCTTTAAAGAAATATGTTTCCCTAATATCAATTTTTAATGCAGTTCTTTTGAGCTTTCATTTTGAAGTAAGCCGTAATTATCTTATTTTATTCATTTAGATATAGCACAAGGACTACAAATTCAACTACCGGATATAAAATATTTTAAAATAGTATTTTTTAGGTTATAATGTTCAAAATTTCTTTAATAAACTTTATTTATAAAGTCTACTTAAAGAAGATTGCTTATTTAGGGTTCTAAACCAGACAAAAAATTGAGAACCACAGCGATAACTTATGAATATTTAACTAATTACGTACTTTTTTTTTTACAGAATATCGATTTGAGCTTTAATGCATTGTCAACCATACCTGAAGATCTTTTCAACAATTTGGAAAATATGATGGTTATTAATCTTGAAGGCAATTTCATAAGGAGCATTGGAAACTGTTTCGCTCAAAGTCATCGTTTGGAATATATCAATTTAAGTAATAACTTTATTAAATCCTTCAATAAAACCTTTCACTCATTAAAGTCGTTGAAGACTATTGATTTGCGAGATAACTCTCTTCATAGTATATCACGAAATTATTTTTCATCACTACCATTACTTGAAGAATTGATAATAAGTCAGAATAATATTTCTCATATTGATTCGGAAGCATTTTCTCAGCTAGAAGGATTAAAAAAGATTGATTTGTCTCTTAACAGACTAACAACTTTGTCCAGAGAATCGTTTCCTAGAGCCTTAAGGAATCAAAAAATAAATACAATTGGTAAGCATATTTTTTCTCTTTCAATTGAGGCATCGAAAAATTCGAAAAGATATTTATCAACCGCAACGAGTGCATGTTTGTTCATCCAACGTTAATATTTAATTCAAAGCTAATTTTCAACGTCATGACTTACATTCAATTTCAACATGCATACATGGACATACGTATGCTATTTACGTAAGCATATATGTTTGTTTATACATGTGTATACACGTATATTATGTATTTCAAAACCTCTATATATGTATATTGTATTCTTGTTAGGTTTCAAGTAACCGAAAAATACGATATACATAAACCTAAAAATTGCATGGTAAAAACTTTCGGCATTGGAAAGAGCAAAGAAATCTCTTCTTAGAGGATGAATCACTTCAGTAGCACTTTAGAAATAATCTGAAATCATAAATACAATGAAATTTCTCATAGATTCAAGCAAAAGCATTGAAAAACATTTAGTATTTTAAAGGGAAGATTTTAAAGCAAAATCGCGCAGTTGTGTTGAAATTTATAAATGCATGTTATGTTTTCTTATGGGTGTTTATGCTATATTTTTCTTCCTTTTATTTGTTTTAACATTATTATAATTAATTTCAATGGAAGTTTAAACATCCCAGTACATTATCAAAAGGCTGTTTTTTTTTTTAACTTATAATGAATAAATAATACTCCCTCCGTCCGAAATTAATTACTACATTAAGGTCTTAAATTTTGTCTCAAATTAGTTGCTGCATTTCAAGCATGTCGAGTCATGAATGACTTCTTATGCAATTTGGTGGATCGTCACGTATAAAATTAATGCGTAAACCGCAGTATGCTAACTCGTTCGTGAAGTAATGGGAATAAAAAGATAATCACAATTGGAATGAATACATCGTCAATAACATTCGGTTATCGAAGAACATTGACGTTCTCAGTTGGCAATGTGTTAACAGGATTTCTTTATCCTGATTTAGCTTGATGTATCAAGTATCCCTTTGACGCACAGAATTTTTATTTATCCTATTTTTTTTTTCATTATTCCGTATTAATTTAGTTTAAAACACAGTTCACTGTTTGTTTAACACGTTCACGCCGGGAAAAGAGAAAATACTGGTAGAAGAACTATTTCAATATTAGATAATATTCGGGAGGAGTTAATCTATTCTCAACAATAGCAATTCATTATGAGGAAATTTATCACAGCGAAGAAGCAATTCAATATAAAAATTGCATCCGTTAAAAACAATTGGTAGTTACGGATTTTCATTATTTTTTTAGGAAAAAAACTAATAAATGAAATTTATTTGTTACCAGTTTTTACTCCGGTGCGACGGCCGATGAGACAATCTAGCGTGACCCAACAGTGGGTCATCCCGGCGTGAACGTGTTAAAACACTGTTGTAAAATTTTAAAAGGTGGTAAAAAAATTAAACAAATGTCGATAATTTAATTTCTGTGCAACCAACATTAAACACTGTTTTCCAAATAAAGTATATATGCAAGAAAATTCCAGCTTCTAAACCACTTAACGAGGAAGTGGTATTTTAAAATAATTAATATCTTCAAGCATTAACCTAAATTCATTACCACTACTAACATTTTTCAAGGAGCGCGAGAATCATGCAAAAATAAATGAAAAAGTATTGTATTCAGCATTTAAAAAACCTTTTAGAATCCGATTAATTTAAATACTGATCTAAGGAGAACTGCCAAATTAAAAGCTGGTAGTAGGCTTTTAAATAAATATGGCTTCTTTTATTTGTTTTCTTTTATTTATTTTTTTCTGTCGATTAATTAGCAAATGAAATGTAATACCTTAAAACATTTTCATTTTAGCAATTGGGCAATTATCAAAGCATAGCAACATACAAAATAAATGCGTGACTAATCTCACTTGCCAAATGACAAAGGGTTAATAATTTATGGTTATGAAATATAGCATGCAACACCGGTGTTTCCTTCCTGAGTTAGTGGTAAAATCTTTCATACACGGCTCACTTCCAGACAATAATTTTTTTCTTATTATTTGCCGTTTTAAATCTAAATGAAACAGTTATTCACCATAATAAGTTCTTTAATTTATAAAATCGATATAAATCGTAATTTAAATTATTGATAAATTTTGAAAATATGAGTAGAAAAAAAACTCTACAAACGACTTTTTTTTTTACATTTTATATTTTATAGTAGTACAAATATAATTCCAATAATCGAACAGATTCTTTTAGAAATTATTAATTGTTTTTATATAATTAAAAAACACCAAAATTTATTTTTGCTTGTAATTAAATCATGATATATACAATATATATATATATATAAGTCGCATAAGAAGTATAACTTCAAAAAAAACTGTTTCTTAATATATCTTGATTTGTTACAGCTATATTTAATTGGTGGCATCGGTGGGAGTAACTTACCATTTGCTTTTAAGGAATTGTGTAATATTCACTTGTGACGAGCAAAGAAGTGTGATTTAGACGAATTATGTGAGGACTTGGGAGGAACTGTCATTGGCAATGTTACTCTATGTGAGTTGATAAATCTTAAATAAAACTCTAGAAATTACGAATTAGATCTGGTTAAAGAAACGTTAAAAGTAATTAAAGAAAGAGGAGGAAAAAAAGCCAAGAAAGACTAGAAGATAAAACTCGCCAAGAACGGAAAAGACAAGAAGAAAAGAAAGAGGAAGAAAGAAAATGCCAAAAAGAAAAAGAAGAAGAAAAACGCCATGAAGAAAAAGGAGAGGAAGAAAAAATACAAAAAGAACGGCAAAACAAGAAGAACGTCAATTTGAACTAGAGAAATTAAGACTTAGTTCCCAATCAAGAGGTCCTTCAAATCGAAATACTTGGCACTACTCAGCGGAATACGTTGAATATAATCTGATATAACAAAGCTAATAGCAAGAGAATCTGAAGAACTTGAGAATCTGAAATAACTGACAATTATGACCACGTTAAGGAAATTTTAATTAAATAGTTAAAGCTAAGTCCAGAAAGATTTAGGATCAAATTTATTCAGCACCTAAAAAAGCTCGATAATAATTGGAAAGATTTCGTTATTGATTTAAACCTATGCTTTGCTGATACAATAAAGTGACCAGAATGGCTTCTTCATGCTAAGAGCCGTACGCAAAAGGTTAAGGAACTACCTAAATGAATGAATTCAAGGATTAGGAATAAAAGATTATGAAACCTTACTGGAACTAATCGTTACCTATCAAACTAAACTAAGAGTGCCCAATGAAATGAGTGAGCATTTTATAGATACTTGGTCAAAAAATAACCTCATCTACAAATCTGGCAGGTCGGAAACGAGTTTTATTAACAAGTAAATTATGAAAATCGGAGATTCAAGTGGCGAGAAGAAAATATCACACGGAAAAATTTACAAGGAGCTGCTGAGAAAAATGGCCGGAATGAAAAAAAATATAGCGAAATATGAGTACAAGCAATCGAATTATGAACAAGTTGATAGACGTAAACCTTATCAATGATACTAATATGGATTTACTAATCACATTCGACCTCAGTGTCCAATACTTAATAACAAAAAGAAACCGAATCAGAATAGGACAAGAAGATGACCAATTATTCAATGATACCAGATTGAAAACTCGATTAAAATTT